TGATGCAACTGATGCAGTTTTGTCGGTATTTTTGAACAGTCACATTGAAGACTCAAAAACTTTGCATGACGAAATTTCATGATTCAAATATTGGTAACTGAACGAAGTCGTACCTGAGCAATCGAAATTGTAATGACGAAAATTGGAGGTGGTAAACAATTGTATTCATCAAGATAAGTGTGAACCATTGGCCTTTCAGGCTTGGCGATTACTGAATCCGCAACGCTGTACATGAATCTTCTTGCTTTGCTCGCTTGAGCTCGAGCTGAGGTTATCTCAAAGCATTCATCATTGCTTCATTCACTCACTATTCAGGGCATCTTAGTGAGTGGTTGTACAATATTTCTGAATATTTTAACGCATGTGCTCCATAAATTCTGGAGAGAGCGTTTTTTGGTTCGAAGTGATCGGTTTTGTTTTTAGAGATTACGACACGAGCGTATTATTTTTTGAATGTTTTTAATAAGTGGATTCAAAGTGAAATAAACGCAACATTTGTTTGGCATAAATTAATGTCGTCGTCATTCATTCCATTTCATTATTATTAAATATTTCATTTGATTTCACTGAATCGTCTTTTTTACTGCCGCAAAACAGAATATCAAATTCGAATTTCTTCTTTCATAGTAAACTTTGAATTATTCAAATTCATTTCGGTTTTGATATTTTGATGGTGGCAATTCAAACATCATTGTTATTGTGCAATAAATGAGCACAATCTAAACAATTTTGCAAAAACTCACTAAGAGTGAAAACTCGTCCAGATCAAGAACACCATTCTGATCGGTATCGGCTCTATCGAGTAGCGTCAGGATTTGTTGGTCAGTTAATCCTATCTTAAAATTTGAATCTGATTCTCGTCAAACACGCAGTGATAACTGCTTTTTTTTTTTGATTTCATCAATCAACGCAATAGTCGTTCAGATGTATGCAGTAACCTTTCCACACATCTCTTATCACACAAATATAACATTTTTGTAATGCTTTCACTTAAAAAAAAAACGACATATTAACAAATGGTACGGCAGCTGGTAACTGATAATTGGCTATCAGTGCAACTTTTGTAGTGAAAGGATTATTAATGGAGGTTTCGAAATCACACCAAAACATTTCGAAATTATTTCTAAAGCTGCCTCGAAAACATGATTGAAGTGGATCTTGTCGAGAATAATGCAAACAACGACCTGTCGTCTGTTTTGGCTGAGAAGGTGTCGGAGTTCACCAACCGCAATGGTACCATCGCCATCCGAATCGAGCTGAAAGTTTGCTATTCGTTTTTGCGAATGCTGAGACGTGAATGAGATAGATTCACTCAAGTTTAGCAGAACTGACAAGCGCTCAACTGCCTCAAAATTATGCTCTATCCTAAAAGTTTTAAGACACTTGCAGTTGCTGACTGGCAAAGAACACTGCTTTAGAGAGAATATTGCCTCATCCTCGAAAACGTCGCTGTCAAACTCGTTCAATCCTGCTGCGTTTCATACGAAATTTGATTGTAATATGCATTCAGCAAATTATTTCTCAATAATTATCCAATATATTAAGTGCCATGTTCAATCAGAATATTTCAGTACAGTTCAACAAAT